TACGTTTCCATTTATGGTAAACACGATCAACATGTGATTTATTTTACACCAATATTGCAAATTTAATACAAACCACAATATCAGAAATATATTTGAAAGCTCTTTCTAAAGGCACCGAGAAAACAGTACAAAAAGTTACATTATAGTGTACCCATTTAAAAAACTTCAACAAGACTGTCTAGATATTGAAAACTTTTTTCTTCCAGTAGAAATGGCAAAAATATAAAATATAATTTGTGTTTATCTCCTCCCTTCCGTCCCATTCCCACATTATATTTGATTTTAATTTTTTCAGCTATATAGGCAAAAGCTACAGACCACAGAAAAACATAAGCCTATAATTAGTACTGATAATGACATTTTAAAGCAGAAATTGCCACATCTGCACCTTTTACATTCCATCATCATCTTCCCCACACGATTTCTCAGGAGGGGCATGGCTGTAAAATCACAAAAGTGCTGATTTGGGGAAGTTTTGATGACGCCGACCCAGCAGAGGAGGGACTGGGGCTCCAAGACCTGGGACCCGAGCACGATGGGCATCTCCAGAGCACAGGACCTGCAGAGTCGATGTCCAGATGCTGAAGCCTATGTCAACAAAGCATGACCTTTCCACCCACCAACTATGACTACTATGGTATCCGTGGTCCCAGGAGAGTGGGTGCAGAGGGCTGCATCTGAGTGTCAGGGAGGGGGGCAGCACGGAGGGGCCCTCGTGGGCAGGGACAGCTGTGTGTGCTAACCTCACGAGCGGCCCACTCCGCAGCTCCTCTGGTTACACTGGGATCTGGCTGTGGTGTGCAAACATGCATGACGTCGCTGAATCCCTTCTCTACAGTCCTAGGTTTTCCTGGCTACGTGTGACACGCGTGCAATGCTAGACTCCCAGGTGGAGGTGAAGTGAGGGGGCAGATGCCCTTGTCCCTGAGGAGGAGAGGCCAGCCCCCCAGCAAAGGTGGGCCCAGGCGCAGGGGGACCTGACCTCAAGTGCTCCCTGCTGTGGCTTTCTCCTGCTTGGGGTGATTTCCACGCGCTGGTGCACACCCTGCATTAATGCACCAGTGGGGTGGGGGTGCCTGAAAGGCGCGGTGCCATCTCTGGGTGGGGACTCTGGGTGACCTCCACGTTCTGATTTATGCTTTTGTATCCAAATTTCCTATATCAGACTGTTTACCTTTACAATTTTTTTTAAAACATCACTTGTCTGTCTTGTCTCTAATAATTCTTCCTGAGATGGTGAATGGAATCCTCATTTGAAAAACTGTAGACAGTCAGCAAGAAAGCAAGACAAGTCGACTTCCTACTTCTTTTCTCCACATTTTGTACTTTTCTATATGCCATGTGTCGCTTAATGACGGGGAGATGTTCTGAGAAATGCATGGTTAGGTGATTTCGTCGTCGTGTGAACATCATAGAATGAACTTACACAAACCTAGGTGGTCCAGCCTACCACACACTTAGGCTACATGGGACTAATCTTATGGGACCGCCATCATAGACACAGTCCCTCGTTGACTGAAATGTCATTGTGACACGTGACTGCACTTCCAAACCCGGACTCTGTAAACTTTAAGTTACACGATGTACTGAGAGACAGATTAGTATAAACCATCTTCAGAGGCCCATTAAAAACACCAGAGTGGGGCCAGCTGGTGGCATAGTGGTTAAGTTCTCACACTCTGCTTCCGTGGCCCAGGGTTCATGGGTTCGGATCCAGGGAGCGGACCTACATACTGCTCATCAAGCCATGCTGTAGTGGCGTCCCAGATATAAAGTAGAGGAAGATTGGCACAGATGTTAGCTCAGGGCCAATCTTTCTCACCAAAAAACAAAAACAAAACCAAAATAAACCAACAGAGAAACTTCCAGAAGGGACAGGATATTATCCTGTCAGTTTGCACTCTGAGTGTGGTCTCAAACTCCGCTGTAGAGTCACAGAGCACGTGCTGCATATCGTAGTGAAGTGCAGGACCCAGCGCTGACTCCTCTCCTGCCTGGAACTTTCTAGATTCCTTCCCAGAATGGGCACGTGGTCACTGTAGCTCAGTGAGTTACATTCCTAATTTATTGTCCGGGCAGTGGAATACCCAGGGTGTGAGTGCTCTCTGAAATCTACTCCACGGAGGCCTTGATCTGCCTTCACGGCACAGGCAGGGAAGCTGAGAGGTGGGCGTGGGGCCCCTGGAAACCGCATTGCAGACATGAAGGCTGATTAGCCTGCACCTGCTGCCGCCTCTCGGAGCATGGATTACTGCCCCGCCAGGCCGACACGTCTCACATTGGCTCACGTTAAAATTGAAAAATTTTAATCTCTCAAAGAGAAATACTGTCATACTTGGACAGACTTAAAACCACTTTGCATTTAAGAACTTCCATGATATTTTACAAAATACAGAATACACTGTTGCATCCTACCCACATATAACAGAGGACTGAACTTGTGCAACTCTGTAGAGTGTCACTTAAGAGAGGCTCTGATCCTGCACCTGCCATCCCAGCTGAGGGGTAAATCTGAGGGTGGACAGAGGCAGTTTTCAGACACGCCTGCTCTATGGCAGGAAAGTGCACTCGGAGGCCTTGGGCGGCATCAGTGTCGCCAAGGCACTTTTGGGGAACATCCCGGGCACCCCATCCTGGCTGGGAGGATCCCACAAGGGCGAGTCCAGGGGCTCACGCTTGACGACAGGTGCCGTCCCAGGAGCTCTGCAGTCGCAGCCCAGAGTGGGGGGCTGGTGGCCCCACGCACAGAGGTGGGGGGGAGGCTCTGGCTCGGGAAGGACATGCATACGTTCCAGGCAGGCGCAGTGTGCAGGGTGGAATGGGGCCAGCTCCCTGCCGGGCCTGGAGTGAGCCCCGTGCACGCCATGCCCCATGTGCGGGGCATAGAGGTGGTGCCTGGAGTCTGGCTCTGATTTCAGGTGCATCCTGGTAGAGAAAGTGACCAGCTGTTTCTTGGCCACATCATTGGCTCCTAGCCACATGTGACTTGGGGACACAGAGTAGCCAGCTGCTGCATCCTCAGACCCAGAGTCACTCTCCATCTTGATGGGCACATCAAGTGACACCATGGGGTTGCACGGGGCTCCTGGGGGCATGGACACGCCTCGCAACTTGGCGTCCTCCGTGGAATAGCCCCCCGCTGCAAGACGCTGTGCTCCAGGCTGAGGGAGCCTGTTCTCCAGGCTCCCCTGGGGGAAGGAGCAGCTGGTGGGAGGGTGCACCTGGCCCTGATCGCCATCCCGCAAGGCTCTGCTTGTCCGGCTGGTGTAGGCACTGGGGGAATGGTTTGCTGGGTGAGAGCTGGGTGAATTCCTGAAAGCAGCCATGCCGCTGGCATGGACAGTGCCCTGGACACCCGGGTAGGGCATGCAGGGACCAAGAGGCGGAGCGTGCATGGAGAACGGATCATGTTTGCTGGGCTCCAGCTTCAGCCTGGCACCGTCCTGACTGTGTTTCCCTGTCATCCAATTCAGGTGCTTCATGGGTCCCGGTGTCTCAAAGCAGCAGTTGTATGCGTGTATTTCCTTCCGCCCCCTCGCACTGGAGGAGCCACTGGGCCCCCTCCCGACCTCCTCTCCTCCACTGACCCTGCGGGGAGGAGATGGCCCATCAGACACAGCAGGGATGACGACTGGCTGACCCCCCTGGGTGGGGCCTCTAGGGATGAAACGGCTAAGCCTGCAAGGCCTACCATGTGCCAGGCCCCACGGCACACGGCCGCCTCTTTAACTCACCTGGCAGCCCTAGGACGCCAGCCCCAGCATCCTTCCTTCCTGTCCTGACCCTCCCACGGCCTCCCCGCACAGGGGAGAGGCTGCAAGGGCCCAGGGGTGGGTAGGGCACAGAGCGTGTGTGCCATCCACCCTGCCCCAGGGACGTATCTCCATGGGGCATAGGCCACGTGTCAAGGGTCAGACACATTGTTATTAACACTCGGGGTGGGGGGTGCCGGGGGGCGGGTCCCGGGTACAAAAGGCCCTGTCAAACTAAAGCAGATGGATAGTCTCGAGCAGGCTCTGTGCACCAGGCCCTGTCAACGGCCAGGCTGCCACTGTGCTCAGGATACCGCGTGGCATCAGGGCTGCACCTGTGATGACAGGGGAGATGGTGACCAGGAGGGTGTGGCAGAGCCCTGCAACCACACGGCCAGGCCAGTCCTCCGAAAGGAGACCTGCTGGTCAGGGAGGGAGCCGGCAGAGCCCAGAAGGGGGCAGGCGAGGGCCCTGTGGGAGGCAAGGCAGTGGGGAGGGTTCCTGAGCAAAGGTGAGAGTGGAGGACCAGGTGGTCACCGAGGGTCCAGGCTACAGGTGGAGGACGAGCCCAGAGGTCCTGACAGCCCCAGCTGAGCCCCCACTGCCCTGGCCAGTCCCCAGACATGCAGTGACAACTTCTAGGCAAGAAGCATGTCTGAGTGTGCTCCACGTGTGTCCGCACGTGCCACTAGAGGGAGGTTCAGCTGTCATGCTCAAGGCCGCCAGACTGGCCCCCATCACTTCTTTCTCAGCACTGGGCTGTGACTTGGCAAGGGGCCAGTGGACAGAGGCACCACTTACCCTGTGGCCCCCTCGGGGTCAAGGACGAGGTCGGAGCCACCCCTGAGGCACAGGCACGGGGCCCTGGCTGGAACCCGGGCCCAGCGGCCGGCATCCGTCTGTGTCCTGAACACCGAAATGCTGTTTTCCCCATTGCTCCTTCCTGTCAGGATTTAGAGAAGCGAAAAGCCATCGTTGTGTGAACTGAACAGCGCCCTGTTCTCAGGTGATGTGACTCATCCTGCTCCTCAGAAACTCGAGGACCACCGCCCACAGGAGCAGGCAGTCGGCCAACAGACACCAACACCCTCCCAGAGGGCATTTCCGTGGAATACGCCACGGTTTTCAGGGGCAGGGAGAGCCCTCCGAGGGACACAGACACATTTTACCCATGAGAAAAATACGAGATAGTGAATTTTAAAAAGTACCTGCTAAGTAATTGGGTTTTCCATGCAATTCTGACTCACACAGACTCGTGGTAGCTTTTGCCCTGTGAAGAACAGATAACGGCAAGATAACATATAGATTAAATGTGAGTTGATGGTAGAAATTAATAACGTGGCAGGTATTACTGTCACCTAAGAGCGGAAGAAACAACTCACAGTTTTTAAATTTTTATAGATTGTAAAGCCTTTTCTCGGTTATAGATTTGCTGAAAATTCCAATTCATGTCACTTTTCAGGCCAATAAAGGGCTAGTGAATTTGCTTCAGAAGTACAGGTACACAGAGGAGGATTTCAGTGCTCTTGTTTTTTTCTGGATGGCCAGAATGAAAATACAGTGGACTCTCGTGATCTGCAGCAGTTACATTCTGCAAAGTCATCGTGACCACTAATTAGTGAATATGAACCCTTGCGCCAGGGGAGTGTGTGCACACACACACCCACACACCATTTACATATCTCACAGACCTTATAATCTTAAATACTAAGGGAACTCATCCTGGTAGATTCTATTTTCTCTATTTTTCAAAAGAAAAACCGAGGCTCAGGAGTGTTAAATGAGTTGCCTGAGGCGACCCCACTAGCAGGTGCAGGAGTGGGATTCAAAGCCCATCCCACTGGCCTCAGAGCCAGAGCTTCCTGCACTCACAGCCCTGCCGCCCCATCCTCTGGTCACCTCTATAGGAGACCAGAGACAAGAGAACAGAGACCAGAGGACAGAGACTGAGAATAGAGACTGAAAACAGAGACCAAAACAGAGACAAATATTAGAGAACAGAGACGAGAGAACAGAGATGAGAGATTAGAGATGAGAACACAGAGGAGAGAACAGAGGAGAGAACAGAGACAATAGAACAGAGACAAGATATTAAAGATGAGAAAGATAAGAGAACAGAGAGGGGAGATTAGAGATGAGAACAGAGACATTAGAACAGAGACAAGAGATTAAAGATGAGAACAAAGACAAGACAACAGAGACGGGAGATTAGAGACGAGAGAACAGAGTGGGGAGAAAAGAGACAGAACTGAGACAACAGGGTGGAGCGTTGCCCTCAGCTGGGAGCACGCGCATCGGGCAACTCAAACTTTTGCCACTCTGTGCACGTCTAGGATGGGCTGCAAAAGCCCCTGAGTATTGATTTCGGAACACAAATAAATTTTAGTGAGTAGGCAGATTCACACATACAGAATCTGTGAACAATGAGAAGTGAAGACACGTCCACATCTCTTTCAGGAACAGCTGTGAAGGACTTGGAATGTCCCTCTCTAAGGGACAAGCATGTGCCGTCCAGAGCCAGCCTCTCAGCATCTCTTCTCTGGGTTTGCACCTTATACCATCTCTGAGCTCAGAAGGTAAAGGCGATGTATGTACTGCAAGTTCGCTTATGAATCCAGCTCAGAGCAGGTGGGAATTCCAAAAAAACTAGGAAGCTGAGAGAAGTGATTTGCTTCTTTCTTAAAGTGTTGGGTGGGAGCCAACATTCTCTGCTTGGGCCTTGTCTTCCCCTCTTCCGAGTTTCAATACTATTGTGTACAGTATGTGTCTGCATTGACTGAACTGTCATAAGGCGTGCCAGCTCCGCACGCCTTCCTGTGCTGATCCTTGCTCGCCCTCCGTGGTGGGTGGATCTACCTACAGAGGAGCGGTGGGTGAGCTGCGGCCTCCACGCGCCCGAGCACCTGTGCAGCCAGCCTGCACTTCCCCACACGGGTGCCAGGGGGCGGCAGAATCTCTAAGAAAAGCATCGAGAGGGCAGGATTTTCCTCTATCTTGTTTGTAGAGCTGGAAACAATATGGAAAAGACAAAGCTCATTGTGTGTGTTTCAATTACAATTTTCAAGCCAAAACAGCTTAAAAACACAGAAAACGCCGTGACAGTAAATGAAGATGGAGAGTATTTCAGAGTAGGAGCGTGTCAGTCCAGACAGCGAGAAGCAGGTGTGGAGAGCTGGGCCCATGGGCAGCCCAGAGGGTCTGCCGCATGCTGAGACTTCACAGTGACCTCTGCAGGTGGGGGCTCGCCCCTGTGCGGCGACCTCTGCGCTCTGCACACCTTCAGGTTCCAGCTTGCTTCATCTCTTATTTTTATAGTGTTTTCCTTGGGTATTCTGTTTTCTCTCCCTCATATTTTATGACACTTTGTATCTTTAAAAATAAGGAGGCATACATATTTAATTTATAAACGTTCCAGAAAACCACTGTCCCAGCATGCTGGCCTATGTCTGGGGGCCCAGAGGATGGCCCCAGCCTCCCTCCCTGCGCACGGCGAGACCAGCAGCAGTGAGGAGGGGGCTTGTGCCTCGAAGGCAGCAGCTCCAACTGCAGATCCGTGGCGACCACGTCACCAGGAGCAGAAACGAGAATGACCATCTCAAGAACCCAGAGCACAGAAGAGAAGCGGCTGCTGTCAGATTTTCTAATCGTCTAAACGGTCGGCTTGAGGACATCAAGGGTGAATCGTGGCCACTGAAGAGGACACTCATACCCACCAAACAGGAGAGTCCTGAAGGTGGCCTTTGGGGCTTGCAGAGAGAAGCCTTTGGGGCCCTGCACCCCCTCCCAGTGTCGCCGTGGACAAGGTGAGCAGGAGTTCCCTAGACCTGGTCACAGAGCCCCTGAGTTCCTTCTGGACAGGCCCCCATTTGGGGTATCCGGCTGTCAGCAAGTGTGTAACCAGGACCCTTCCATAGAACTCGGGGCACAGAAGTGGCTCCTGGTGGACGTGACGCTCCCACTGATGACGTGGGCGAGAATACAGAAGCACCTGCACCAAACTGAAGGGACGGGCAGAGGGAGGGGAAGCAAATACGTCGGATGCTGTTGAATCCCAGATCAAAAACTCATCTACAGTCAAGGACCTGAGGCTGGGGCTATCACGGACGATAGGTCAGAACAACCCCGCTCTGCGCTCAGACCCCCATCCCATCTGGCAGTGCTTTAGGGGGCCGGCACCGCCCTGGGGGAGGCACCGGGAGCCCAAAGCCCAGACATTCCCAGGTCAGGGAAGGGAGTGCGCTACGCACACGCCTCCTGAGAGGGCCCAACAAGGCCTTAACTTAGGAGGCTGCACTGGTGGAGGCTTCCCCCGCCAGCAGGAGGCAGGAGAGGGGGACAGGGCCTCCCAGAGCAGATGCCAGATCTGCAAGGTCCCTGGGAGAGCCACGATGCAAACTCACGCGACTGGCTCTGTGAGGAAGGAAGCCCACTGTGGGTCCACGGGTGGCTGGATAGGAGGGAACACCTGACAGCACTTTGGGGCAGAGTGTGTGAGAAGGACAGTGCTGAGAAGGCTCCCTCCTGGGGAGAGCTGAGCGCCCATGGCCCTCGCAGAGGGCACTCTGCGAGTGCAGCTGGAAAGCTGCACTGGTCCGATTCTAAATCAACCTGCGAGCCCAGCACTGCTCTGCGCTCTTTGTCCCAAGCCCTGCTGGGTCTTGGCCAAGGCCCTCCTGTAGCCAGTGAGCTGAGGGCAGGGCCCAGCGGGGGACACTCCTCTGTAGCTGCTGGCTCAGCTGAGCCCTGCTGTGCGGACAGTCACAGAGGGACAGAGAAGTGGCTCAGGGACTTGGGGGGTCTTTTGACAGGCTGTACCTGTGACCGGTGCAGAGGAAGGTGTCTTGCACAATCCGCTGGGGCAGACAGATCTCAGGCCTCCCTAACTCCCTTCTTCCTGGGTCTCACTCACAAGGTGTCTTTCCGCACAGTTGGAAAACACAGTTTATATACGCACGACGTCTTAAATCCCTCCCAAGAAACTGATCCGTGCAACACAGACTGAACCCACTCCAAGAAATTACAGACGTGAATCAGCCAGGAAACTCAGTACAAGGTGCTGTCTACCAGGGAAAAGCTGAGGAAACTGTGTATGGGCAGAGGGGCAGTGGTGCCTGGTCCCCATTGTCTGGGGACATCCATCTCTGGCCTGTGTCTCAGCAGTGAGCGCTGTGTGTGAAGGGAGGGACAGCAGAGAGAAGGAAAGAGGCTGTGGCCTCTGGACTCCCATCCCCCAGTGGACGTGGGCCCAGGGTGCTCATTTTGAGAACGTAACTGGAGGACTTAGGAACAAGCGATGCAGGCGGTTCACAAATATTAGTTTGAAAGCATTTCTTTTTTCTGGTAGTTGTTTCCTACATAATGTACTAGCTTTAAAACACCAAACTTCTCATTTTAGTGCTTGCTGGAATGGACAGAAATGCTGAGTGTCGAGATGCTCTGTTTCAACCACCTGCAGTGAGTGTGGCTGCCACGGGGGCTCTTACTTTGTGTCCGTCGTAGTCGAGATGTCCACCCTGTGCTTCGCCCTCAAAAACGCACTCTTCATTTTCATCTCTGCCATGGAAGGTAGGAGAACAGGTACCACGATGCAGAAGAGTGAGAGCCGAGGGGGCAGGATGGTCCCTGACGGCGCCTTCCTCTTCTGTCCAAACAGGAATTGTAGTTTTCCTTGAAACTGCATCGTCTGGTGTTTTAAAGACAGAAACGAAAGCATGTTCACAGAGTGAATTAGCAACACTGTCAAAGGACACGAAACTCGCATTCTCAGGGATAGAAACAGAGAAGAATCTTATCCTGAGTCTCTATCAGAATTTTATCCTGTGTCTAAGGGGACACTTCTTCCACGCTTGGCCTCCTTGGGATACGTACTCTCCCAGGGCCTTTGGAATCATTCATGGGCTCCTCTGGAGTCTCCATAATAGGCATGTTCTCATGTGTGTGCTCATGGGTGTGTGGGTGTACAAGCCAACTCTTACACGGTCGGTGTGAATGTGCATCGACTGGGGCTGTCAATGACCTGTGGCAGGGCCATCAGCCGGCCCCCCGAAGGATTTGCTGGAGAAGATAATCTCTGAGGACGGTTCCAGCTTTAACCCTCCATTTCCAAGTTATCATTCCTTCTTTCATGATGATAAAACTTACAGACAACTTGATTTTGTTTATCTAGAGTATATAACAGTTATATACTAACAGTTAGTGAATTAAAAAGCCAGCAAGCAACTTAGGAGTTTGTGATAAAAGAAAATAAAAGATCTCTCTACAATGGAAAAGCTAATCTATAACTGAGTTAGTTACCAAGTGTCTTCAAGGAAGAATGACCCCACAACACAGCCCCACTCTCTGCCTATCCTAATCCCATGCATCCATCCATCCATCTGTCCATCCCTCCATCCTCCCATCCATCCATCCATCATGCATCCATCCATCCCTCCATCCATCCATCCATCATCCATCCCTCCATCCATCATCCATCCTTCCATCCACCCATCCATCCATTCCTCCATCCATCCATCCCTCCATCCATCATCCATCCATCCATCCCTCCATCCTCCCATCCATCCATCCATCCATCCCTCCCTCCCTCCATCCTCCCATCCATCCATCCCTCTAACCACCCCTCCATCTTCCCATTCACCCACCCACCCACCCATCTGTCCATCTCTCCACTTGTCTCTGGATTTATTGAATGAATGAACAAACACTCGCAAAGCACCTACTGTACGCCCCAGGCACATGCTTGGTGTGGAGGATTCAAGGCAGTGGTGTGCTGAGATATGTTTAACATCCAGCTTTCCAAGGAAAAAAGCCCTGATTTATAGTGTTTGCCAATTTCTTTGGTGTAAATATTCCCACCATGGCTGATTTCAAGCTACCAACCTAATGTCAAATGGATCTCTAAACTCCTGAAATTCTAATGGGCTCCTGTGGGCATCATGAGCCAGTCTGGGTAGCAGCACCACCTTGCCCCGTGGGGGTGGGGGGCTTTCACACAGTGAGAGGGTGGAGTTGGAAAGAGCCTGTGAGTCGTGCAAACGCCATGTCACCTACTCACCTGTTCTCAGCGTATTCGTCGTAGGTGCCAGAGCCCTTTCCGGTGTGTGCAATAAAACACAACCAGACACTTTTCAAACTAACTTCGTTTGCTTGTTTCCTCTACTCAGTGCCTTGTTTTACAGTTTCCTGGCAAACTCCTCCCTCCAGGGGACCCCTCCAGAGGACCCACAGCCCAGGTGGGGAGATGGACCCCCATAGGAGCCCAAAGTCAAGGTGGGGGAGACGGACCCCCAGGGGGCCCACAGCCCAGGTAGGGTGGGGGAGGAGCATGCGGTGGTCACTGGAGTGGGGCAGCTCTGCATACATCCACAACAGGCCGGAAGCTGAGCCCAGAGGTCCTGGGGTCAGAGGGTTGGGTGCTGAATAACTGCCACAAGGATGGGGGCACAAGGGCTCCGGGGAGAGCCGTGACCCAGGAGACTGTAGGGACTGGGCTGGGGAGGGGGGTGGCCGAGGCTCTGGAGAGCAACACAGGTATCAGGCCTGGGTCTCCGAGGTGGGCAGAGGGCTGGGGTGGGCTGGGGGCTCTGTTCTATTGGCTCCTCCCTCCCCTCCTTGCTTTCAGTGAGGCGCTGGGAGAGGAAACGGCCAATTAAGAGACGTGGAAATCCCAGGCATCTATTTGCAAGAGAAAAGGTTAAAACCTTAACACCTGGCAGAGACGTGGTCTCAGATCCAAGGCTCTTTCCTGCCCCCAGTCCAGGGCAGGCTCCGTGCGGCAGGATGGGGGGTGTACTGGGAAAACATTTTAAATGAAGGTACAACTGAACCTGAATAACCCACCACAGTATAAACCACTGCAGATTTTAACTACGTCATCTCGTCTCGTCTCGTCATCGTCCGTCCCAGACGTCACATTCCACTCTCCTCACCCGCCCGCCTTCTCACTCAGCCCTGCTATACGAGGCCGAGGTGAGCACCTCCTAGCCCTCCCCGCTCCCTGCATTCCCTCTGCGCAGGGCGGACTGCATCCCTGACGTCAGGGGGCCCTGTCCGCCAGCTCACTCACCAGGAAGCCCGAGGTGCTGTCCAGCAGGCAGCGCACACGGCAGACGAAGCAGCGCGTCAGGAAGGCTGAGTACTCGGTGGGCGAGCCGGCACCCCCATCCTGGGCCCTGAGCAGCCTCCCCAGGACGGCGTCCTCTCCTGCCATGCAGGCACAGGCAGCGGTGAGGGCCAGGGAGGCAGGACCCAGAGAGAAACCATACATACACTCTGATGAGCAAGGTCGTACTCTAACAGCAAGGGGCCAGCACACAACACACACGCCCATGCCGCGTGCACACCGGCCCACAACTTGCGTCTTTCCCCGGCTCCCCACCCCTCCCCCACCCCACAGAGGTTAAATTTGTCACATTGTCCTTTGCCCTTAAAAATGCCGTTTCAGTCCAGTTCACGGCTGACGATCCATCAGTGGTTTAGTTTTGCTGTTGAGCTTTATAAAACGCTGTTGTGTGCCGGCCCCCAGGGTTTCTTTTTTCATTCAACTTTATGGGGCAAGTCAAGCTGTTGCTGAGGGTGTGCTGCAAACTTTCCTTGACTTGTTCACAGCTTCTGGGGAGACGTGTGAGAGAACCGACCCTGCGCTCTTCCTGCGCTGGACGGCCTTGGTCAGCACCCCAGACCCCTCGCACTCCCGTCCCCCTCGCAGCTGGACGCCTCCCGTCCCCCTCGCAGCTGGACGCCAGCCTAGCCTGTCTGCAGCGGCTCTGCAGGCGGTCTTTCCCACAAGGGGCAGCGTCCCTGAACAGACAACAATCTTTTGGGGCTTTTTTCAGGTAAATCTAACGTAGCCAAAGGAATTTCCTGGAAGACGAGGGGGAGTTTGCAAACCGAGAGACAAGTATTGCAGCATCTCGGTGAGGTGGGCTCATGCCTTGCAGAGCACAGAGAAGCAGCCAGAGAGCCACGTGAGGGCCTGGCCGACTGGAGGTGGTGGGGGCACACGGGGGGGGGGGGGGTCTGTGAGGAAGCCGGGGAGGGAGGGAGAGAAAGTGCTGCGTGTTCACACAGTGTTTCACGGCTCGGTTGGACCCACCTGTCTCCGAGTGTGGGGGCTGCCCACACACCACCTGGGGAGGGTCCATGGCCCAGTGCAGCTGCCGGCAGAAGTCCTGGCGGTCGTCCACGTGGATGTAGTCGTAGATGTTCTGGTGCATCACGTCCGTCTGAAACATCGCACAGTCATCTTAGCCTCAAGTGAATTTTCACTTTATTCCGTATCAATAACCGCAAAACGTCTCGTCCATCTGTCAAAAGGAAGCGGCATCCAAGCAGAGACAGTCCTGTGGAAAGGACAGCAGCGTGGCCTCAAAGACGCTCCCTCCCTCGAGGGTGCGCCATGCGGCCTGGACACACGGGCTGCAGAGCTGGGCACGCCGCTGGTGCCCCAGCCCCCACCCACCCGCCAGATGGTGCCCTCAGGGCAAAGTGGGAGGCTCAGAGACCAAACGTCTTCTGGCGCCAAGATACCCACTTCTCCAAACTGCCCCCAACCCTCCATGACTCGGAGAACTCGTCAAGTCATGTTGATGATCTGGGCCCTTTCAGCCTACGTCTTATACTCGAATCACAAAAGTTCATTAGGAAAGCACTCCTGTGCTCACCACTGAGGCGAGAGACTGGCCAGTGCCTCTTGGCCAACGACTTCCTTCTTCCCAGCACCCCCGGGTATGACCATTGCCCCTTCCAGGATGTCACAGGGACTCGCCAGTCCACAGCCCTATCTCTGGTCCTGTGTCCTCCCACCTGCTTGGGTCCTGAACACAGAGGCCGATGCTCTCGGGCACCAGGTCCACACTGGGAAGCTGCGGTCTGGGGCACAGAGCCACAACCACGGGCTACAGAGACTGGCTTCAGTGGAAGACGGCTGTGGTTACCGTCGGTAAAAACTGTTCCCAGAGTGTGTTGATGAACAAGGAGGCCCCTGCACCTCTCCCCGCCACCCTCTCTTTTGAAGAATGTCACTCATTATCTGCAGGGAGCCCAGCTGGAGAACACTTGAACAACCTGCCAGGTGGTCAGCCATCTCTTCAGAACTGAAGGTTTCTCTGTGAAACCTTTCTAGTTCCAAACATTTCTCAACTGGATCATTATAATAACTTAGTGAAGGGAAAGTTCCTGAAGAATCAAGACTTCAGAAACAAGGAAATCTTTTAAGAAGGTGACTAGTAAACTCAACTGGAGTAGTGAGATCCACCCTCACTATTGCCTGTAACTCCGCGACTAAGGCCCCTGGGATCCCCGAAGGTCCAACAAAATACAACCTCAAGAAGGTAGAGCAGGAATGTGACCATCGCTCGAAGGTCGGACTCTAACCACCTGTGTGCCCACACTCCAAAGAGACCAGGTCTTCACCGAGAGGAGCGGACACAGAGGTCAGAAGTGGTTGTTGCCCTTGGTCAGTGTTGTCCAGGGCCAGGGTCTCTGGACGTGCACGTGGGGCCAATAGGCAGAGACCAACTCATGGTGGAAGTGAACGTATCAGGCTTTCCCTCCAGCTCAAGACCCACCAGCTCCTGCTTCACCTGGTGGTCCCCACCTCACCTGGTGGTTCTCATCTCACCTGGCGGCCCGCACCTCACCTGGTGGTTCTCATCTCACCCAGCGGCTCTTGCC